ACAGTACGAAGAGAGAGAACGCTAACCTTGCTCGACGTGACTTCTGGCGTGGAGGGCAGGCAGGCGGGTGGGGAGGCGGTTATTGCTTTGTGTGAGAGTCCCTCTCCCTACAGGAAGCCACGACCACGTATCACGGGAGGGAAAATGGCCGCGGATCCTGTTCGTCACCCGATCCGGCGTTCACGAACGGAGGCAAAATTTTGCAAACGGAGCTGTTCGTGACCTGAATTGGTCATGAATAGAAGCGTTCGTGACCCGAGGTACCACTGTACATGAAACCCGTAGGCAAAACCATCCATAGTACAAGGTTAAGTATCATCAGCTTTACATCTCTTCCCCAGCTGACCAAGTAATAGCATCAAATTTATTTCTCAGTATCTGGAGGTTGTAGTGGTCTGGATGGGGAGGAACAGACTCTGCTCAATCTAATCAAGACTGAGTGGCTCTGGGTTTAGGCCCTCTGGATCTGGAGACTTTCCATATTTAGTTCTGGGTGGGACTGCACTCCCCCAGACATAACTGGTGTGCAATTTGGAGGTTATCTTGACTTTTGGCTCCTGCTAGACGAGCAGGTGGCAGCAGTGATCAAGAGGGCCTTTGTACAACTCCATCTTGTGGGCCAATGGTGCCTGTTCCTCAATCAGGAGGCTCTGCTCATGGTAACTCATACTTTGATTACTTTCCACTTGGATTATTGCAACGCTCTCCACATGGGGCTACCTTTGAATACCATCCAGAAGTTACAATTGGTCCAGAATATAATGGTGCAGGTAGTTAAGGGTGCCAATATAACACCACTACTGCACTGGCTTTGTATAAGCTTCTGGGTGCAATTCCGGGGACATGTTATCACCTATAAAGCCCTTCATGGCACAAGGCCATGTTATTTGTGGGACCACCTACCTCAAATTATGTCTGCCAACCCCATGAGATCCAACAGACTGGGCATGCTTCAGGTCCCCTCCATGAAACAATGCCATCTAATGGACCCAGGAGACATGTCTTCTCTGTCATGGTACCTGCCCTTAGGAACACATACTTCTCAAGATTCAGATAGCCTAACTTTGCTGGCCTTCCATAAAGTTTCCATAAAATAAACTAGTTTTTTCCTCTGGGCATTGGGTTAAGACATTAGATTAGCTCATCTGGAAAACTAGTTTAAGATTTTGAAGATGTTTTATCTTTAGCCCCTGGGCTAGTTATATTGCATTGTTGTGATTTTTTTATGTTTATAGTTTATCTTTTTTCTTTTTAATCCTATGTTAGCTGCCTAGAGTCACATTTTGTGAGTTGGGTGGCCTTACTAATTTATAAATATATAAGTGTTATTCCAATTTTAGTGTTGGAAACAGAGAAAGTACATGAGATACTGTTAACAAAAGGTGTGACTTAATCTTGTCCTAAATAAAGAGAACTGAATATCGGGGAAAGGGGAAAAAAAACCTACTGTATTGTGTTTTAAGAGCAAATTAATCCAATAAAATATATTCTTTCATAACCAAAAAGACATTGATCTTGACATTCAAAACATAGTATATTTTAAAGCTGTTAAAGAATAACGCTAATTTGGTACTTCAGAGATACTTGTAATAAAATATCATTATTTTAAAAGGATATAGATAAGCTGTCTCACATTCTAGTAAGCAGATTTGTTTTTGCAAATTCTTTATGTACTCAACTTCAATTGAACTGAGGGAGTCCATCCTGCTAAAAAAGAGGAAAAGCAAACCATAAGTTAATTTATTAGAGGCTATAGATTGGGGGGGGGGGAATGCCATTTTCATCTCTTTGGTACCAGCAAGCCAATTAAGACTTTTAAAGGTTTCCAAATGAATATTGCATTTCTTTTCTCATCATCTACATAAACTCACTTGATTTCTTGATTTTTTTATCCAATTTATAGGCCACTTTTAATTATAAAAAGTAAAATAAAAATAAACAAAAGACAAAAAAGAGATCATCAGTGGCCTGAAGACAACCATATAAACCAACCAACCCATTCCTCCCCTCACCGCCCCCCCCATCCCTGCTATCAAATAAGAGGTCAACCATTACCCTGCCCCAGACTCTGGGAGAATACCCAGGTCTTTAATAGCTTCCTACAACATCCTCAGGATGGGAGCCATTCAGATCTCTGTGGGATGGGGGGATATCAGTCCAGAGGGAAGGCACCCTAAGAGAGAAGGCATGCTTCCAGGCTCCCACTAGATTTACCTGCTTTATTGATGGGGCCTGAACATGCCCACTCTTCTGAGCAGATATGTATAGGACTGAAGTGTATATGCTACTGAAGCTTAATATTGGATCTGCCCAAAGATTTCATTATGGGCAAACAGCCTTACTGAGTTACTTGACATCTCCCCTATTGTTTGTCCTTAACATCAATTAAATCTCTACAAGGTTGATGTCCTTTTGATATTTTCATTTTGTATTTCCAAGAGTTTCATGACACATTTCTACTACATTCATGAATGTATTTTGTTGATCATTAAGCTCTAGTTTGGGGAAGCATGTTTAGACAAGATTATTCCTATAGTTTATAGTATATACAGTTGCAGTTTTGAACTCAGTAGAATTTCTATCTGAAAAACCTGCACAGACTGGTGGTATCAAAATGCATAATGAAATTCTTTATGCGCTATTCCACTGGCATCACTCAACTTGCTCAGGAAGAGGAGCCTATTGCTATGCTCTGCTCTTCATGCCTGTGAGGCTCCTGAATGCATCTGATTAGCTGTTATGTGACACTGAATGCTGGATTAGACATGTGTGATCCTGCAGGGCCCTTCTTATAATCTTAAAAGGACTTCCATCTGGCTTGAAGAGACATGGATTGGACCAGCAGTCAAGTGTTAATATACTCCAGCCATTCATTTTTGCCTCAGTGTTAGAAACTCAATTATTCTGTTACATAAAAAGCAATCATAGCAATACTAGTCCAGGGAAAAAGAATCCAAACCCAGACTTAGATAACAACTTTGTTGGGGCCAGACAGAATGACTGGGCAAGCTTTCAGGTTCTCCAGAACTTTTCTCAGTCAAGCTGCTACAAAAAGAGGGCCTGGGGAAGAAGTAAGGAAGTCCAAGAAGCAGATGTGATGCCTCAGCTCTGCAGCGGCAGACTAGAGTCATTCTCAGAGTGCAGACTGTAGAGGAAATGGGTTGGTAAGGGCAGTAAGTGCATATTGGGGCTGCTATTAACAGAGGAGAAGGAATGATGATACCACTCAGGCTTGATGACCCACTCACTTTTCTACAGACCCCACCCCCACCCCATTTTCCCTCAATATAGATTTCAATATAGATTTCTGATGGAGATGGTGAAACTGACCTTGATGGTTGAGAGATTCACCTTCCAGCCTAGCTAGGCGGAAGAGCCATTTGTTCCACCTGTTGCCTCAGTTTCCTGGCTGTTGGGGCTGCTATTAACAGAGGAGAAGGAATGATGATACCACTCAGGCTTGATGACCCGCT